TATGATGCTTTGTGGGTTTGTCATAAATGGCTCTTATTATTTTTGAGGTATGTTCCATCAGTGAATTTATTGAGCGTTTTTAGCATGAAGGCTGTTGAATTTTGTCCAAAGCCTTTTCTGCATCTATTGAGATAATCATGTGGTTCTTGTCTTTGGTTCTGTTTATATGCTGGATTATGTTTATTGATTTACGAATGTTGAACCAGCCTTGCATCTGAGGATGAAGCCCACTTGATCATAGTGGATAAGCTTTTTGTGATGTGCTGCTGAATCCGGTTTGCCAGTATTTTTATTATTGAGGATTTTTGCATCGTGTTCATCAGGGATATGGGTCTAAAATTCTCTTTTTGTGTCTCTGCCAGGCTTTGGTATCAGGATGATGTTGGCCTCATAAAATGAGTTAGGGAGGATTCCCTCTTTTCTATTGATTGGAATAGTTTCAGAAGGAATGATGCCAACTCTCTTGTACCTTTGGTAGAATTCAGCTGTGAATCCATCTGGTCCTGGACTTTTTTTGGTTGGTAGGCCTGTCAATTCTGCCTCCAATTTCAGAACCTGCTATTGGTGTAGGGATTCAACTTCTTCCTGGTTTAGTCTTGGAAGAGTGTAAGTGTCAGGAAATTATCCATTTCTTCTAGATTTTCCAGTTTATTTGCATAGAGGTGTTTATAGTATTCTCTGATGATAGTTTGTATTTCTGTGGGGTCGGTGGTGATATCCCCTTTATCATTTTTAATTGCATCGATTTGATTCTTCTCTCTTTTCTTCTTTATTAGTCTTGCTAACGGTCTGTCAATTTTGTTGATCTTTTCAAAAAACCAACTCCTGGATTCATTGATTTTTTGGAGGGGTTTTTTGTGTCTCTATCTCCTTCAGTTCTGCTCTGATCTTAGTTATTTCTTGCCTTCTGCAAGCTTTTGAATGTGTTTGCTCTTGCTTCTCTAGTTCTTTTAATTGTGATGTTAGAGTGTCAATTTTAGATCTTTCTGCTTTCTCTTGTGGGCATTTAGTGCTATAAATTTCCTCTACACACTGCTTTATTATGTCCCAGAGATTCCTGGTATGTTGTATCTTTGTTCTCATTGGTTTCAAAGAACATCTTTATTTCTGCCTTCATTTGGTGCTTTTGATAGTCATTCAGGAGCAGGTTGTTCAGTTTCCATATAGTTAGCGGTTTTGATTGAGTTTCTTAGTCCTGAGTTCTATTTTGATTGCTGTAGTCGAGAGACAGTTTGTTATAATTTCTGTTCTTGTACATTTGCTGAGAAGTGCTTTACTTCCAATTAAATTAGTCAATTTTGGAGTAAGTACGATGTGGTGCTGAGAAGAATGTATATTCTGTTGATTTGAGGTGGAGAGTTCTATAGATGTCTATTAGGTCTGCTTGCTGCAGAGATGAGTTCAATTCCTGGATATCCTTGTTAACTTTCTGTCTCGTTGATCTGTCTAATGTTGACAGTGGAGTGTTGATGTCTCCCATTATTATTGTATGGGAGTCTAAGTCTCTTTGCAAGTCTCTAAGGACTTGCTTTATGAATCTGGGTGCTCCTGTATTGGGTGCATATATATTTAGGATAGTTAGCTCTTCCTGTTGAATTGATCCCTTTACCATTATGTAATGGCCTTGTGTCTCTTTGATCTTTGATGGTTTAAAGTCTGTTTTATCAGAGACTAGTATTGCAACCCTGCTTTTTTTTGTTCTCCATTTGCTTGGTAAATCTTCCTCCATCCCTTTATTTTGAGCCTATGTATGTCTGCGTGTGAGATGGGTCTCCTGAATACAGCAGACTGATGAATCTTGACTCTTTATCAGTTGCCAGTCTGTCTTTTAATTGGAGCATTTCTTCCCTTTACATTTAAAGGTTAAGATTGTTATGTGTGAACTTGATCCTGCCATTATGATATTAACTGGTTCTTTATCATTAGTTGATGCAGTTTCTTCCTAGCCTCGATGGTCTTTGTTTTGGCATGTTTTTGCAATGGCTGGTACTGGTTCTTCCTTTCCATGTTTAGTGCTTCCTTCAGGGTCTCTTGCAGGCAGGCCCTGACAGTGACAAAATCTCTAAGCATTTGCTTATCTGTAAAGGATTTATTTCTCCTTGCTTATGGAAACTTAGTTGGCTGGATGAAATTCTGGGTTTGATTCTTTTCTTTAAGAATGTTGAATGTTGCCCCACTCTCTTCTGGCTTGTACAGTTTCTGCCAAGAGATCTGCTGTTAGTCTGATGGGCTTCCCTTTGTGGGTAACCCGACCTTTCTCTCTGGCTGCCCTTAGTTTTCTTCATTTCAACTTTGGTGAATCACAGCAGTGTATGTGTCTTGGAGTTGCTCTTCTCAGGAGTATCTTTGTGGCGTTCTCTGTATTTCCTGGATTTGAATGTTGGCCTGCCCTACTAGGTGGGGAAGTTCTCCTGGATGATATCACACAGTGTTTTCAACTTAGTTCCATTACCCCTCACTTTCAGGCACCCCAATCAGGCTGGAATTTGGTCTTTTTACATAATCCATACTTCAAACTTTTTGAGCTTTGTTCATTTCTTTCTTCTTTTCTTTTGGTTTCTCTTCTCGCTTCATTTCATTGATTTGATGGAAATCGTCGCTGATACTCTTTCTTCCAGTTGATCGAGTCGGTTACTGAAGCTTGTGCATTTATCACGTATTTCTCGTGTCATGGTTTTCATCTCTTTCATTTCGTTTATGAGCTTCTCTGCATTAATTACTCTAGCCATCAATTCTTCCACTTTTTCAAGTTTTTTTAGTTTCTTTGCGCTGGAGTGTAATTCCTCCTTTAGCTCTGAGAAATTTGATGGACTGAAGCCTTCTTCTCTCATCTCATCAAAGTCATTCTCCGATGGACTGAAGCCTTCTTCTCTCATCTCATCAAAGTCATTCTCCGTCCAGCTTTGATCCGTTGCTGGCGATGAGCTGCGCTCCTTTGCCAGGGGAGATGCGCTCTTATTTTTTGAATTTCCAGCTTTTCTGCCCAGCTTTTTCCCCATCTTTGTGGTTTTATCTGCCTCTGGTCTTTGAAAATGGTGATGTACTGATGGGATTTTGGTGTAGGTGTCCTTCCTGTTTGATAGTTTTCCTTCTAACAGTCAGGACCCTCAGCCTGTAGGTCTGTTGGAGATTGCTTGAGGTCCACTCCAGACCCTGTTTGCCTGGGTGTCAGCAGCAGAGTCTGCAGAAGATAGAATATTGCTGAACAGCGAGTGTACCTGTCTGATTCTTGCTTTGGAAGCTTCCTCTCAGGGGTGTACTCCACCGTGTGAGGTGTGGGGTGTCGGTCTGCCCCTAGTGGGGGATGTCTCCCAGTTAGGCTACTCAGGGGTCAGGGGCCCAGTTGAGCAGGCAGTCTGTTCATTCTCAGATCTCAACCTCCATGTTGGGAGATCTACTGCTCTCTTCAAAGCTGTCAGACAGAGTCGTTTGCGTCTGCAGAGGTTTCTGCTTCGTTTGTTATTGTTTACTGTGCCCTGTCCCCAGAGGTGGAGTCTACAGAGACAGGCAGGTTTCCTTGAGCTGCTGTGAGCTCCACCCAGTCGAGCTTCCCGGCGGCTTTGTTTACCTACTTAAGTCTCAGCAATGGAGGGCGCCCCTCCCCCAGCCTGGCTGCTGCCTTGCCGGTAGATCACAGACTGCTGTGCTAGCAATGAGGGAGGCTCCCTGGGTGTGGGACCCTCCTGGCCAGGTGTGGGATATGATCTCCTGGTGTGCCTGTTTGCTTAAAGTGCAGTATTGGGGTGGGAGTTACCCAATTTTCCAGGTGTTGTGTGTCTCAGTTCCCCTGGCTAGGAAAAGGGATTCCCTTCCCCCTTGCGCTTCCCAGGTGAGGCAATGCCTCGCCCTGCTTCAGCTCTCCCTGGTCGGGCTGCAGCAGCTGACCAGCACCGATCGTCTGGCACTCCCCAGTGAGATGAACCCAGTACCTCAGTTGAAAATGCAGAAATCGCCGGTCTTCTGTGTCACTTGCGCTGGGAGTTGGAGACTGGAGCTGTTCCTATTCGGCCATCTTGCTCCGCCCCTCCGACATTTGTTTTAAAAATCAAATGTTTATAATTCATTCATTATGAAATACTGTTGTGTTTTTCATCTTTGGCTCTTATTCTGTCATCAAGTGTTCCCTTTAGAGAGTTCTTCCTTGCCTTTTTAAATGTATGAGTTTGGGGAAGTTTTTGTTCATTTTCTATTATGTGATTACAATAGTTTAAAAATAATAATCAGGTGAGGCAGGGTGCTGTAGTTCATGCCTGTAATCCTAGTAGTTAGGGATGCCGAGGGGTGCAGACCACTTGAGGTCAGGAATTTAAGACCACCCTGGACAACATGGTGAAATCCCATCTCTACTAAAGATATAAAAATTAGCTGGGTGTGATTGCATGTGCCTGTGGTCCCAGCTACTTGGGAGGCTGAGGCAGGAGAATCACTTGAGCCCTGAGGCAGAGGTTGCAATGAGCCAAGATCACACCACTGTACTCCAGCCTGGGCAACAGAGCAAGCCTCCGTCTCAAAAAAACAAAACAAAACAAAACAAAACACCAAAAAACCTAGAAATATAGAAATATTAAATTTCTTACAATTTTTATACTGCCTAAACAGATGCTAAATGGCCACTGATTCTCTTTATGTGTTGTTATTTTATTTTATGATATTGCTATATTGCAGAATTACAATGGACAAGGAAAGAGGAGGAAAAAAACCCCAGCTACATAAATTTTATTTTACCTTTGATCCCTGCCTAAAGTTGTTCTTATGTTTTACCTGTTGGAACTTTTATATCATACACATTATAATCCTAACATCTCATGAAGTTCAAACACAGGTCAGCAGGGAGAATAACTAAAACAACTCTAACAATTTGTAACAGTCCAAATTCTCCTCTTGAAATGTTGACGTAATTTAATGCTTCTTTTTGAAAGAGAATGAGTGCTAAATAATGATAATGCCTGTTCAAAGATCATTGTACTTCGAATACTTATCCAGTATTTGCCTTGTATCAGAGAACCATCTGTGACTGAATTGATACAGGAACAGGAGAAAGAGCTGCGGTGGCTGACATTACACTCCAACTGGGAGAGCCTCAATGGGACCACTTTGCATGAACTTCTTGTAAATGGGTAAGAACACATTCATAAGAACTGTGTAGAGTCAGATTACAGAACAAGAATTTTCATCAGGCCTTTCTTCCATTTTTTTAACTTAAGATAATCCTAATTTGTCTTTTCAGTAAAGAGTTTCCATAGATTTGCTATTGCCTTTACATTTCAACATTGGTTGCTTGTATTTCTTCTTTCTAGATATAGATTTTTTTTCTCTTTTATTCATCATTACAGAAACTATCATGGTGAGAAGAGAGGAACTTGGGTTCTAATCTTGGATTTCTTCTAATATCTTATTCAAAATAAAACCTCATGTCTGCATTTCCTACAGATGCTACATAGAACTAGTTAACGAAGGGAATTGAAGTAATGATAACTAAGAAAACTTGGAATGTCTAAGAGAGGAATAGACACAAAATAAAATTATAATCAAGTTGCCTTGAAAGTGCACATAAGTTTCCCCTAAAAAATCATTGCATCTTAAACAGGGCTACTTCACTTGTCTATGGGTGGGGTGTAGGAGGAAGACAAATTGAGGAAATTTACACTTACTAAGTTCTTATTGCATTATAGGCACACAGCTAGGTAGTCTTATATACACTGACTCATTTAAACCTCAAATAGATTTGTGAACCATGGATGATTATCCAATATTTTACAGCTTTAATATTTTATTTAGTTTAGAATATTTAAATAACTTGCTCAAATCTCACAGCCCACAGATGCTAAGTGATAGTGTCTGAACTCTAAATAAGTTTATCTGACTCCGAAGCTCATAAATGTTACTACCTCTTAAGAATTTTAAAGAGGAAAACTAAAAATGGACCATTTCCTCTTAAAATGTCTTGACATTTTCCTCACAGATCAAACTGCAGCCAGATTTCTGCATATTTGTCAACTGAAATACTTCCTCTGAAACAATGACCTAAACCTTTTAACAAAGTGATTTGTTTCCCCAAAGTTGGAATTCCAGAAAAAACCTTTCAGGTCAGGTAAATGAATAAATAAATAACTCATTCTAGATTGGGAGTTAGTAAACTTGGTTCTAGTCCTGGTTTACTAACTAGAAGTGTTATCTTATATAACTGCAATTTTCAGTAAGAAGTTGGATGAATAGTCTTTGATGACTTTCCTATTCCTAAGAGCTATGTGTTTTCAATCTAACAAATAACAACTAATTATTAAGTATCTCTTTAATACCAAATTCAGCATTAGGATTTGAGTGGATGTAGAAGTGAATGAGGGTAAACAAAGGCCCTTATCTCAGGGAATGTACACTATATGGAGTGAAGACAAAGATTATAAATTAGTAAAAATAATTTTGGACTTCGGTAAGTGCTGCAGATAAATTTAGGATAATGCAATAGAGAGTAAGGAAGAGAAGATTTTATTTATTTATTTATTTTATTTTTTTTTTTTTGAGACGGAGTCTCGCTCTGTCGCCCAGGCTGGAGTGCAGTGGCGCAATCTCGGCTCACTGCAAGCTCCACCTCCCGGGTTCACGCCATTCTCCTACCTCAGCCTCCCGAGTAGCTGGGACTACAGGCGCCCGCCACTGCGCCCGGCTAAATTTTTTCTATTTTTTAGTAGAGACGGGGTTTCACCATGGTCTCGATCTCCTGACCTTGTGATCCGCCCGCCTCGGCCTCCCAAAGTGCTGGGATTACAGGCGTGAGCCACCGCGCCCGGCATGGAAGAGAAGATTTTAGACTGTGGGAGGGTAGAAAGCAAATGAGCTTTTCCTGTATTACATATTGTATGCAAATAATTACACGTACCCCTATGTAAATTTAGCAAGAAATGAAAAAACAGTAAATCTTCAGAAAAGAATGTGGAAATTATATATTTAGGGTTGGGTTTTGTTTTAAATCTGAGATATCTAGGATTCTAAGTACATCATAGTATTTTTGAAAGTCCCAATATGGGTTTTTATTGTCCTTTTTCATTTACATTGAGGTTGTAATGTAAATGTTTCATGGTTGGAAGACAACTTAGTGATTAAAATTTCTACCCCAAACTGAATTATCTTGTGCCATCACATTGAAAGATCCTTTAACAGGGACCATGTTTTTGCATTCAAAGTTGAACCTAGATTTTAGAAAATTCTTTTCCTGAACCCACAATTCTTGTAAATTGCACCTACTAGTTTTGATCGTGTCATCTAAAGTTATATGAAATAAATTTAAGCTACTTTTCCTCTTGTCAACTTCTCATACAGAGGAAATTTAACCTTGAGAATCTTCGTAAGACTCTTTTCCAGTCTAAATATTCCATTCCTTTATCTGTTCTTTAATTTCTGAAGTCATATTTTACTCGTCTTAGACTATTTCTCAACTGGTTTTGAGCACATGCCACTTTGTATAAGCATAAAAATCTGACATGCTGCCTCCTCACCATTGATTCTAAAAAGTACCCCCATCTTCCCTTGAGAATTGTAGTTTGAATTGACATTGTGGTGGTACTACCAGCCAAAATGATGTGGGAAATTTTGTTAAAATAATTTCTTTTCCCACAAATGTGAAATTACATTATGATATTAAATAAACTTAAAAAATGAAGTATATATATTCCATATACTCCCGCCCACAACATGATTAATATCTGACCACACTCCTGCCTTGAGAATTCCTGCACCGAGAGGAATTGTTGCTCAGAGAATGTGCTCTCCGATGGTAACAGTTGGAGCTGTCTTGTTTTTCACTGGTAAAGTGTTTGAATTGAACAGTAAATACGTAACTTAATGTTATACCGTTTTATGTTTCCAAATCCAGGCAGTCTTGTCAGAGCAGAAGTAAAATTTCTCTTCTATGTACTAAACAAGGTGAGAGAATTAGAGATGTGGCAAGGGGATATGAACTTAACTGGATTGGCTCGGGGAAGAGTGATCCCTTGTAAGTGACAGCAAAGAGCTAAGCATTTAGCAAGGTTTGGCATCAACTCACAAACTGTGTCTTCTGCTCCTTGGTAGACTGTGGGCGCCGCCCTGCTGCCCGAATGAACAAAAGGATCCTTGGGGGTCGGACAAGTCGCCCTGGAAGGTGGCCATGGCAGTGTTCTCTGCAGAGTGAACCCAGTGGACATATCTGTGGCTGTGTCCTCATTGCGAAGAAGTGGGTTCTGACAGTTGCTCACTGCTTCGAGGGGTAAGCTGCACCTTTCCTTTTTTCCTTTGCCTGGATTTGATCACTTTGTCACTCAGGAATTCTCAGTGGCGTATGTAACTCCATGAAGCCATATCGAGGAGAAAGCCACAGCTAATCTACTTTCCAGGTCTTTATCTTCCTAAAGTTTTCTATCCTTGGTGTTGCAATCTAATATACTGGCTGCTCATTTGTTGGAAATGGCTGCATATTGCTTCTGATTTTTGTCCTAAGGAGGGAGAGAGAGAAAGAAGTTTAGAAGATTGACTCCATGCTACTATTAGTCTATTTTCTAGACATCTTAAATATATCACACATATTATAACTTAAACAGAAGTGATTTATTTGGATACTACAATGAGGCTTGGATGCAGAGAAACTGTTGAGTGGTTTGGGAAGCAGACTTAAAGGTATAATGTGTGTAATATGTGTGCTATTCAGAGAGAGTGTGTGTTTTTGTGTGTATGTAAAGAGAAAGGTTATGTTATGCCATTTTATGGTTCCAAATGTAGGCAGCCTTGTCGTAGCAGAAGTGAGATTTCTCTTCTGTGTGCTGAATGAGGTGAGACAATTGGAGGAGTAGCAATGGGATATGAACTTAATTGAACTGGATTGGCTCAGGGGAAGAGTGATCACTTTTTTGGTTTGGAGCCCATCCAAACCAAACCAAAACATGAAACAAAGCAATGACAACAAACAAAGGTTTATTTTGACATAATTGGCTCATGTGAATCTGGAGGCTTGGTGAGTCCAAAACCTGATGGGGTAGGTGGCAGGCAGGAAGATTAGGCAAGAGTTGCAGTTCAATCTGCTGGCAGTATTCCTTCTTGCTGGAGAGGTCAGTCTTTGATCTATTAAGATTTTCATCTGAATGGGTAAGATTCATCTACATCATGGAGTGTCATCTGCTTTACTCAAAGTCCGCTGATTTAAATATTAATCTCATCCCCCCCCCGCCCAAAAAAAAACACCTTCACAGAAACATAGAGAATAATAGTTGGCTAAATATTTGGGCACTGTGGCCCAGCCAGACTGATACATAAAATTAACCACCACAATATGCCTAAAGAGAGCAAAATAATAAAACTAAGGGAAAACCTACCCCAAATTGATGAGCGTCACTGCAGAATCTCTTCCAGCTATCTGTTGCTATGTAATTTAGTAGCAAAACAAAACAAACAAACAAAACCAAACATAAACAAAACAGTAGCTACAAACGAAAACTCAGATATTTATTGTGCTCACTGAAGATTCAGACGAAGTGTAGTTGGCATAATTTGTCTCTGCTCTGTGATTTCTGGGGCCTCAGCTGGAAGATTCCAAGGCTAGGAAGAGGCTGGCACCATCTGAAGTCTGACAGTAGATGCTGCCTGTTGGCTGGGACCTCAGTTCCTCTCCGTATGAGACTCACTTCATGGTGGCTGGCATCCTCCAAATCAAGCTTCCCTAAAAGGAAGCCAGGAGGACGCTGTATTACCTTTTTTGACTCAGCATCCAAAGGCACAAAATATTGCTTCTCCCATGTGGTTGCCCAGAGCCATTAGTCGCAGGCTCCAACTGATTCAAAGGGAAGAAACACAGACCTCCCACATCAAAAGACTTGAGGATAGGTTTTGAAAACCACCATACCAGCCATTTTATTGAATTTATTTTTAATAATTTTACTTTATTTAAATGAAGTAATATTAAATAATAGCAAAAAATTTTGAGACAAAAAATAATCCACAGATCTATTACTTAATTAAATGGATACTTTTCATTTGATCTGATTAGTTTCTAGGAAAAAAATGCAATTTCATTTTTTGCCTATTTGTTATTATTTTGTCTTAGCTTTGCCAATTATTGTGTAACCACTGACAGAATTCAGTAACTTCTCTGGGCCACAGTTTTCTGTTATGTGAAATTAAGGAAATAATAATCCCTACCTCACCGAGTTGGTGCAGGCAGGAAGTGAAACAGTCGGTGTAGAGCTTTAAGAACTATGCCTGGCATCAACCAGTAATACACCAAAAGGTAAAGTTTTCTTTTAAAAAAACTACTGCTAAAATCATGCATTCTGCATTTTCCCTTAGCATTATGGCATGAATATTTTTGCATTTTGCTAACACTATTCTCCCACACTCATTAACCTTAATTCCTGATCATCCTTAAGGTAACCCCCGTTAGTGCATTATGAATATTCTCCCACAACCATAAACACATGTATTTTTCACAAGGCGTCACTGTTTACTTTTGCAATTTGGAAGAACACTCTATAATTTCATTTATAAGTTGCTTTTCTCATGTAGCAATATATCATGGACATCTCTCCAGGTCAATTGATGTAGCTCTAACTCATTTTTTTAAGTCAAATAATATTCTATAGATTTATTATAACTTTTAAAATTATTCCCCAGTTGATTCCCAAACTAAACATTTGGTTTAGTTCCAGTTTGCTGCCATTTTAACAATACTGCAATAAATATTCTTAAAGAAAGCTACTCACCTATTGGTACTCTTGTTTCTAGAGGATACGGTTCCAGCACATACCTGTAGTTTCATAAGGAGGTTACAGAGATGGATACATGTTTTGTTCTCTAAGGGGCTAATCTGGTGAGGAGACAGACATTTAAACAAGTAATTAGAATACAGTGTGATAGTGATTATAAAATGGAAATTTGTATATCCAGTTATTTGATTGCTATTTTGGGGGAAATAAAACATTAAAAAAATCAAACTAGCACCTTCTTTTGAGAGCTTTTAATGTGTAAGATCCAGAATTATTGGAAGAGTCTGCCTAGTATGTCAAAAAACACACTGAAATGTTATTGCTTTAGAAGGGGCCAGATGTTTCCAGATGTCTTTTCCAGACCTAATTTGTAACTCCATGGTAAGAAGAAGGTTGTACTAACAAGAGTACATTCATCATGAGATGATTACCTAAATGAATCCAACAGTTTTTTTCAGGGAACAGCGCTCTTTATGTGCTGGTTAATCCAGGTTCATACCCCACTTTTGTTATTTCCGCACGTGTTATCCAAGTTTCCTCTTTCACTGGCAGATCTGTAAAGTTCAGGAGAAATCTTGCAATAGAGAAGAAATATGTGTTTATAATTAAGGGCATGTACATAATATTAAAGGCCTTGATGAAGTTTCACAGAACATTAAATTTAACAAAACTGTCAAGAGAGGCCCGGTCTATCCGTAAGAAGTTAGAAAATGCCCCACTTCAAACAAGCCTTTGCTTGAATGTGTGCTAATAACCCTGATTCTGTTTTATAACATCTCCAGGGGGAGCTGCAAACTTTTGAGAACTTCTAATTTATGCCATACTGCCTTTTGGAGCCATCAGTTACAGCAATTAATGGGATTTACTTAATATCCTGATCCCATAATTTGGCAAGGGCTAGAGTGACCCATTGGTAGGTCTCCTCAGCCTGTCTTTTTAAATTATATTTATGGGAAAAAAAGACAAGTTTGTTTTGCTCTGCTATGAAGAGGTAGATAAAAATCCCAAATGAAAATTTAAAAACATGAGATGGTTGACCAGATCAAGTCCCGTATGTCCTAGTGATAATTTTCTGTCAAAAGTTCTAAGGAAGAAAGACTTTGACTTTCATGGGATAATTTAGCAAGCAATTTTCCTGTTTTCTTCCACTTCCAAAAGACTTAAGAATGAACTTCCTAGGCTGGCACACAGCTAGTAATGGTCAGAAACATCTGATTCCTCTCCAGGAAACCCACATGAAAAACTGTCCTCCCACTACATGACCACAACCCATACTCCTGCCACGTCACTCATGTCTTGATTCCCTCCGCACGAGCTCTTCAAACCAACAAGATTTTTGGTTAGTGGCTGCACTTTGTCCCCTGGTGTCTCAGTCCAAAGAGTCTCCTTCTCGCCTCCTTTCTTTTTCTTTTTCTTTTCTTTTTTTTTCTTTTTTGAGATGGAGTCTTGCTCTGTCGCCCAGGCTGGAGTGCAGTGGAACGATCTCAGCTCACTGCAAGCTCTGCCTCCCAGATTCACGCCATTCTCCTGCCCCAGCCTCCCGAGTAAGTGGGACTACAGGTGCCCGCCACCACGCCCAGCTAATTTTTTGTATTTTTAGTAGAGATGGGGTTTCACCGTGTTAGCCAGGACGGTTTTGATCTCCTGACCTTGTGATCCACCTGCCTCGGCCTCCCAAAGTGCTGGGATTACAGGCATGAGCCACCGTGCCCAGCCCTTGCCTCCTTTCTTTCCCTCAGCTTACCTGGTTCCCTGGGCTCATCACTTCAGTCTTTTCACCAGGACCTTTCTTTTTCTTTTCTTTTCTTTCTGTCTTGTTTTTGAGGGAGAGTATTACTGAAGAATGCAGATTCCTGCCATGCCTGACTTTCAACATCAGTTGGACCCTTAATATTACTCAATAATCTTCCACCTATTTCTAAACAGCTACCTCTCCTATACACCACAGAACAAAATCCTTGTTTTCACTTGCCCGCCTGCCTTGATCTGGCAGTCTTTTAATACACTGAGAAAAGGAAGTGAGAAGTTTGGTCTGACTTTTTATTACTGAACTCATGCTGTGTCTTTCTGCTTACTTCTTTATCTTCTAGGAGTGTATGAACGGTGCCAGTCATTCACAATTTGTTTTTCTATTCCATCTACTCTAAGAATTTGGCCCATTCCCGTCAGTAGTAATGTCCACTAAAAGAAAAACTTTCCATTTTAGATCTATACCTTCCATGGGGTGCTGTTTCTCAGCATCACTAGGGAGTGAGCAAGTGTGACCTTAAAAATCCCTAGGTGACTCTGACCTTACCTCATACTCCCCACTGCCCTGCCCTCTATGGAAATGTTTTCTGTCACCCTCGCCTCTCCACTGGAAAATGTCTGGGTCTAGGATATAGCTAGCAGTTGGCCTAACATGCAATCCCATTGTTTAGGTGGCTTTCAGAAATTTGAAACTCTCTTGTTTTAAATTGTTGCAGTTACTTGCCTGTGTCTTTCAGTCTTGTCACTCCCTAGTCATGTATGTTGC